TTCCAAAATAAACAACACTTCCGTCAATAATATTCAACTGCTGTATAGTGAATAGTAAATACTTTGTGTGATCAGTCAATCACTGGCTGTCGTCTGAGTGGTGTGATTGACAGACTCATTGAAAAGCTTTTGATTCTAAACATAGTTGTATATATTGCCATGACAACTCATACCAGTAAAATTCTAATTCCTCCTGCTCTCAATCTATATGTCTGTTCCAGTGTGAAATCGAATTTATTTTTAAATATAATGTCAATCAAAAGAGTCAAAAATTCAAAACAATGTTTTGCTGAATATTCCTGTATACTATATTAGGTTTGAAATAATATATATACATATATTTGTGGTGACGTGTCAGACAAGTTTATTCATAAATTTTCTAGCAATTGTTTATTTGTTTAAATTTATTTCCAGTACCTTGTGGTTTGCATGATCGTTTTATGTTGCAGGATTTAACACATTGTCAAATGGTGCTGGTCATTTCAAGCAGTGAAATAGTCCATTGAAAGCCGAGGGAATTGGTCATACAGACGTGTTCCCATATAAATACTGTATACTGTTTTTATCAAGAAGTGCTTCTTCAACAAAAATTCAGTATGGAAACTAATGGTGCGTAAGTATGATGCGATTATACAGGTAAACACAGCCAGTGGCGTCAACCACTGTATAACGTCTTGTAATGAGAAGTGACATTCACTGAGCCAGTTGTGAGATTCATTTAACTCTAAGAGACTAGGAGTTGACCGTCAGCAAATTTGTGAAACGTCCCATTCGTTATAGTCGACTATACATTAGCTAAATCTAATTAGTAGGTAATTTCAATTCTCTTCTCAATATCATGAAGATGATGGCGAAGACAATTTACGTAAAACAAGCTGCACTATAGATGTAGAAGATGTTCAAATATGTGACGAGGACGTACGGAACATGCAAATCTATTGCAGCAGAAATTATATATATGTTTAGGACGATGTTACAAGTCTATCTATAATAATAACATTGAGGTGATTTAATGACTTATCTATGAATCAACCACCCCAACGTTTGGCTATCATATGTAACCTTGACCAGTGATGTGTTCTTAGTGAATGGAACTCAAAAAGTAACTTCAACTTGCCCATTGAGTCAGTGGTACACTCATCTCATGCAACAGAGACTGCCTTACTCAAAGTGCAAAATGTCTAATCTATGTCCATGAACAGCCAAAATGTTTGTGTTTTAGTACTTTGAGTGCAGCATTTGTCAGATTTTAATAGAACGCCTTGAACAATGCTTTGGTTTTTCGGGGGGGGGGGTATCTAGGCTTGGTTTAGATCATATTTAATGGCGTCGTTACATTTACGCAACGTGTAAATCTACAAAAACATTCTGCTTTTTTACCGTTTGCCGTGTACGAAATCAATGTATAACATCGATATATGGACAGTTCTAAAACCCAAGGACATGTTGAGAAAATTTGGCGTGTCAACTTCCAACTACAGAAAAAATATCTCGTATCACTTGCAAAGGCAGCACAAAACGTGAACCTTGACTGTATTCAGCTTTATCGCATCACATTTGCACACCATTGGTTACCATACTGAGATGATGTTGCAGTAGCACTTTAAGATACGAATTCAGCACGTGTGTTTATATAGAAGCGCTTCTGTATGTAGAATCAGATGACCGATAATATGGTCTTTGAAATTGCATAAAATCTTGCTTCATTGCTTGCAGTGGTCAACTCGATTCGTCAATGTGTTCAAGTCTTACAAACACAGCAATGCAAAACACAAGGTCCCGAAAATTAACACGACCATTGAGTAAGTAAATCTGTAGTAAGTTTGTAAAATCGTTTTTACATTTACCGTGCATTTGAAAGTGCCTTCGTCATTACTGTTATATATTCATGAATAAATGTTGGTATGATTATTAAAAACAAATATTGTTTTGCAATATGACACGAACGTCGATATTTAGAAACAGGTATAGTTAAATTTAATTTGATCTCTTCAATGTATAAATATTGGTGCCCTTTTTTGAGTTTAAAAACTATTTGTAAATTATATCATTTTAGACATGTACGAGTTGAAATTGGATTTACAGGTAGGACATTGATAAAAAATTTACTGTACCATATTATATATTTAGCGACCTGCTTTTCATTTTATTATAAATATATTCGGTTTCACACTGAAACAGATATATCAATTCCGTCGTGAGTGCAAGCTGAATTTGTATTTTACTATTTCATCACTTTCAATTTCTGCATTTATGTAATTCGCGGCTTCATTCACAGCACCATATCGACACAATTAGTATGGATAAATTGTCATTCCATCACAAATGCGAAGTGAAATTGCCATACATTCAGTCTGATGACGTATCGCGCAGAGAACGCCCACATGCTTCTAAATAATTAATCATTTAAAACTCCATTTCCACCTACGGATCACACACGAGCTTGGGTTATATTTTCATCATTTAACATCAAAATGCGAACACTGTTGATCTTCCTTTTATTATTCATACTGTTTATCGCCATTAAAAGTGAAGACGTTCGAGCAGCTGTAAGTACACTAGCGTTTCCCATTGTATCATTCAAGGAAAAACTATTTAGTTAGTATTAGGCTCTCAACATTTGGGGCATAATATGTATGCTTTAAAGCCAAATTACTGTGTACTTGCAATATTAATTAATAAGATACACCCGTAAAATGCTCATTGAATAGTTCTAGTCAGATCATTGGTATAACAAAGTTGGAAAAAGCTTATGCAAGCGTATTACAGTTATTGATCCGAAGTTACATTTGTGTAATAAGCATCCCTTTAATGTGCCAAAAGGAACCACATGTAATCAACACAGCAACAGTAACATCATGTGAACTTACCCATTTAATACACATTATATTTGATAGAATATAATTGGAACATACACTTCTGAGACGGAGTAATATGTAATGTGATTGTGTGGATGTACGTGTTCCTGCTACGTAGCTTGTTTGAAAACAGTAAATACAGGGAAAGTCTCCAATATGCCACCCACAGAGCAAATCCACAATCATCCGCATCAGCTCACATAATTTAATTATCTTTCATCAAACATAAATATAAATGATAACTACATGGCATTTATGCGAATCGAAAGTTGACCACTGTAGTAGTGTACTATAACTGCTTCAAATGATGCATTTTGGTATCAATAAAGATACAAACACAAATTGGAGAATTGAATCCATATTCCAAATGTTACTTGATCCGATGTGAAGAGAAGTACATCAATTACTAGGCAAATAACTTGTAAATGGCTACTCATTCTAGTGCCACAAACTAAACTAAGCAATGACACGCTAAATGAAAAAAAGCTATCATATTATCTGATGAGATGCTTGAAACTATAGTATAAATGCAAAACAATATGTTAAAATTTGTTACATAAACACGTTTCAGCGTTAATAGTGAAATTTTCGAACGCGTCCTAAAATGGTGAGCTACTAAGAACATCTACATTATTCGTGTTGTAATAGTTATTTAAATTAATCGAGTCATGGAGAAAATGAAAGTGCGCTATTGAAGTGTATCAAACGTTAAAAAGACGAAATATACATGATGATTCATGGAAATTTACTACTAGAAAAATTTGGATCGAAACAAAATTCGCTAATCAAATTATAAGAGTCGCAGGGGCGGATACAGGATTTTTTTTATGAGGGGGAAGAACCCCCTTAGATCAGCCACTGAGTCGCGAACAATATTTTAGTTGACTTCTAACAACCATATTCTGCAGTGTTTATCATATTGTGTACGCCGTCACATGTATCTGTAATACCTGTATGAATTCAATTAATTCAAACGAAAAAAACAGCAAAACAATGTTTTGAATATATTTATTTATTTATTTATTTGACTAATTTCATACTGGAGCAGAACTATTTAACGTAATTGAAATACTTCAAGCAAGCTATATGAATGAATGCTTCGGCAAAATAATAAACACACTAGGCTTTGTAATTCAAAACATATTTTTAATTTTTTTATAAAACCAATTATTCAGAAAGAGCAATATCATCTTATTTGTAAATCTGATGAACGTAGTTGTCAAGGAAACAGTACATCATTCAGTGTCCGAATTCTTTGAAACTTATGTGACTGATTGGAAACAATTTATTGAATTTGATTTTGAATTTGAAACTAGTATGATGTTTAAAAATTCCCAATTGTACTGAAATCCGTACCATGACATGAAGACTGTGGTAAATTACCAGTTAGGAATAATTTCGGAATACAAACTACATAGATTTCAGTGTGTAACAGAGATTATGTGGTTGATGTGGATACATTTTCAATTGATCAGTATTTGTCAATTTGTTTGCTCACAATGTACTGTCAACTGATGATGAATGTAAGTCGCTCAACCCGTTTATATTCCCATAGCTGTGTAGGAAAGCTAATGTTGATCCAGTAAACAAAAGTGGAGACAAACATCTTGTAGAAAATTGTAAACTTGTCAGTAATTGGTTTGAAAAGTACAGTGTTTAGTAAAACCACTCCATGTAACAATTTAGGTAAACACAGCCAGTCACATATTATTTATCTCAACTTTTTTAAAAGCATTTGATGGCATAGCTCACATGTTTTTCTTTCATAAGCTTCGTGCAAACAGTTTTCATAGTAATCTTTATTCATGGTTTTCTAGTTACTTATCCAAACACAATCATCCACTCAAACAATAACATTTTTTTCTATTGAAAAAACATTCATCAAAACATTTTCAATAAAAACAATTCAAATTAAAAACATGGAAATAAACACTAAAATTTAGGTTATTAAATTAATTGAATTATACAGTTACGCAAGACAATAGTAAAATAAAAAACAATTCTTGAATAAGTAAGTGTAAAAACCGTCGTCATGACAATATGTCCCCTGTGACATATACAACATACAATGATTACACACAATTTGAACTTTTTCTTCCCTTTTATATATGTTCTGGATAATATTCGTTAATATTCCATTAGCTTGTTTCTGTGTGTTCATCGTTCTTATGGCTCTGCAACAAATATGAAAATATGAAATTTTTACGAGGATTCCTCAAGGTATGCACGAAGTATCGGCCGACGCGCAGCGGAGGTTGATGCGACCGTGTACTGTATGAGTACATACTTTGAGTTATCCTCGTAATAACTTTAATATTATACATCTTTTCCTTCCAATCACATCACGGGAATGCCGAAATCTAAAATATTTGGAGCAGAATCAGCGAACTTCTTTGTGTGGAGTACAGTCAAACCCTGGTGGCAGCCATGTTTTTTTCTATTATTAGAGAACGCTTACGCGCGTAATTATAATATATTTGAAATTCGCATTTCCTAATATGGTAAGATGAAAATACCCCGTAAAATACCTCAAAATTACGGCACGCTGTAACTTATGGCGTTATATTGACAGATGTATAATGATTAATACTATTTTAAAGCTCTAGTTGGATTACAACAAATCTAATATAAAACAAACATATTTGAACATGACAGATAGAACACGGTGGATATATTTCTGTACATAACACAAAGTATTTCACACCCTGCCAACAACAATGTTGTCCATAATATAAGAACACTCAGGCATGCAAGTATAATCACGTAATAAATAATTAAAAATTATCACCACAGCAAATAATTGAACATTTTGGAGACTCACTAAACCTGGTCGGATGGTATATGTCCTATATGCATTTTTATAGAGAATTGGTGCACACTTCATGTGCTGTCTATAGTGAATGATGCTGAACGGGTGTAACCTGTTTATAATGTTATAGTGAGTCATGATCGAAATGATCTATACATATACATTAAAGGTATTAACACAATTAGCAAATTTTCCCAAAGTATATTTCAAAGCTCACATTTAAAACGTTCTACTTGGAGACATGCAGTGCATATGCTTTGCTATTATTATGAGGTTATACCTGTTGACATTATTTCATCAATCCAAGATCTTCCATGCGTTATACGTGCATATACACCGGGATAGTACGAATCGGCACAGCCATTTCCCCAGCTTGTCAGCCCGGCAAGATACCACCGGCCATTGGATTTCTGGCACACCAATGGACCACCACTGTCACCCTGAAATAGTTGACGTATGAAAAGATTAGCATGCGTCGCATCTATTAATGTTTAATCAGGTAGTTGTATTTCAACATACTGAATATAATGATCATGTTATCGCTGTAATCACGTTTTTTTTTTACGACGCTCGGGATCCGAACTGAATGCAGTGTAGCGTGACGATTGTGTGCGATTTTGAGTAACATACGTTCTCGAAAATCGAGTTGAATTACTTTTACTTGTTTTCCCCACAATTTGTTGAATGAACTATCAGGGGATGGGTACTTACATAACACGAATCTATTCCACCGACATCTAAATATCCGGCGCATATCATCGATTCAGTCACATCACCATCGTATCTACTGTTGCATGTCTGTTGATTGACCAGTGGCACGGTCGCTTCCTGTAAAATGTCAGGTGTCCCACCCGCTAAATATGAAAAAAGAAACAAAATTATTCAGCGCCCTTTGCAATTTGCTCAACTCTGACTGGAACTGTGGGTAATATCATTAAAACAAAATATTCGCAATCAGATGCATTGCCAGTGCAGAGATGGGTTGTGCGCTTTGTGAGTTGCTATTGGGCAATTCAATGAATACCACTTGAATTGAAATAACCATTTTAAAGTACATATCCTTCCTTAAATTTGAGTAAAATTATGGCAATATAAACAATAACCAATATTTTTCCGTTTCAATCAAACAAAATAAAACACATAACCTAACGTAGTGTATACTAAACACATTCATCCAATTGAAAGTAGTGATGTTTGCTGTTTCCAATGTGTTATCACTAAATGTACTTGTATCAAATATAGCAAACATTTTCATTCACAGTTTCTCTCGTTTTAATAGTTTTCAAAGAGATTATATTTATGTCACTGAGGAATTGTGGAGGCTTGGAAACTTAATTGATACGTATTAATATTGATGTCTGATACGCTGCAGCGCAAGCAGAATACTTACAGTACGTTTCTCCCCAACCAGAAATAGCACACACTTCACCGTCATTAAAGAACGTGGAGTCACCACTTGGTGGAAGACAAGCAGGTCTTATATAGTCAGAGTATATTATCGGTGTGTCAACGTAAAGCAGCGCGAAGTCATTACTGCTTAGATAATTATTGTAACTAGGATGTACAAATACACTATGCACTCCAGTTCGGTATTCATGTACCGACCCAGCTTGTTGTGATATAAATCCCATGCGTACTTCGAGATCATAAGGAGACGAACTGACCCTGCAAAAACAAAAAAAAAACACGAAACTGTCGTTATTAATAAATCATAGTTACTTTTCTCTAAGCACTTTCTCGATTGCTGCTTCACTGGTAGCCCACTGCCACTTTCGTCGGAAATGCTGCTAATATTATTCTCATTAATTTGCTGTAAAATCCCAATGAATGTTACAGTAAAACATTCCTTGCAACGTTTAATTGAGAGTGGCCGTCATTCATTATTAGCAATATTAACATATTCCAATTAGCTACATACTGTATTTAGTAGCCAATCAACGTGGCGGTTACACTCTGGTTTGGGTGGTCATGTCCTAGCAGTTAAACGGCAGATAACCAATGTATTATGTACAGTGTCTCACATTATTTATTTTAATTCAGTGAGATATTAATTACAGACTAATTTACAAAAGATGCATATTCGACAGCTCTGACATACCCATTGTCCATTAAGTTTATGTATCGATACCCTGTTTAACTTGTCAAGGCATTGTCAACTTACACACAGTGAGCAGCCGTTGCTATCCAGTTTTCGTTAATTACTACGGCGCCACAAATGTGGCTACCATATTCGTGTAAAGACACCTGCCACGGATAGGTTCCTAGCGATGCGTCAGAGCCTCCAACAATACGGTTTGACTCTGCTGGTGTGGTCCCACAAAACTCGCTCTCTGGAAATCAACATAGATTATATAACAATTTTACGAATTACGTTAAGAAAACGAAACCAGGCTTTCAGTAGACAGAGAAGTATTTCAAAATTGTCAATAAATTGTACATACAATATCAAACACCACAAATTATGTTTTCCACATGGCGCTAATTGTGTAACAAATAAACATACAATTTTACCAATACAATCACACGTTTTCTGAAAAGCATGACAGAAACGTGAGATTACGTTCATAAAATAGTGGAAACAACCGAGTTGGGAGTTTATCGACATTTATTTTTTTTACCCCGCCTGTTAGTTGACTTTTCGAAGTTGTAGCGTTAATGTATTTCACCTTACCGTCTTCACAAACCTGTACGAAGTTCGGAAGGTAATAATTAACAATGAGGGCATAATACTTTAAAGTCTATATATAGTACTTGATATTGTTCGTGATTGACTAAATCGCCGCATGTGAGTTCAATAAAAATGGTACAGAAGTTTTTTTAAAGACCATTGGATAGTTCTATTAAAGGCTAGATCATAGTACTGGTTGTGAGTTTAATATGAGTAGGCACAATTATAAATTAAATATGATTGTCTACTGACCAGTTGGATTCACAACACATATGGACGTATCATTGCTGAATGGAAGCAAGTCGCATTCTACTGGCCATTGTATTCCTCCATTGTTAAACGTTGATTCACAGGTTCGCCGGACGTCCTCACAGAAATACTTGCATGGCGGTCGGTAAAAGCCGTCTTCGCTGCAGTCTGGGGCGAAAAGAGCACACATGAAGTAGTCCATGTGCGGATGACATGGCGTCCCAGCTCTGTTATATCTCATGTTCATTAAGAATTGTTCAAGATGTCGTACACTACTAGAGCGGTCGGCGCTTGGTAAGTACTTTGTCAATCTAGCCATGTTTAGAGGTAAACTTCTACAGACCTCAATGGTAATGTCGCTGCATTCTGAAATAGGAAAGGTAAACAAATGTATTATTTTTTTGATGCCAAGAATCAACTCGGACACCACAAATTGCGTACACCTGAGATTATATGTAATTTACAACAAGTAACCAGTGATTGTGGTTAATTTAAATGACTTTAACAAATCGGTGTGGGAATATTATCATAGCAACTCCACGTATACCTACCACATTTAGTCCCAATCCATCCATATGCACACCAACAAGAAAACCCTCCTACGAGATCAAAACAGGTACCACCGTTTTGACAAGGGTTACTTGCGCATTCGTCTATATCTAAAATATAAATCCTATTTGCATTATATACACCAACTGGCACTGTATTATAGTATGAGACCAATGAAACCAGTATACACAATATATTATAAAGAAACAGCAGTTACTGACTAAATAATTCATATGCAGGGAATATGTCATTATTCTGGAGTGAGAGGCATTCTGACCGATTAGTCTAGTAATTTGTAGGCCCATGGTTTATGATGCACATGGTCAACGTTTTGTGTGTACAAGCAAACAAGCACATGAGTCGATTTAACCGACTTTTTTTGCAGAATATCACGGTGTTTAAAATAAAAAAAATATCTGTTATGTAATTTGAACACAATTCTAGTCATTTTCGCACGATTGACTACGAATCAGAAACCTTTTTTATAACATATTCTGAATAAACAACAACAGTAGTATAGCATCCATAAGGGCGCTGTTCATATTTGGATGCGATGACGTCATATGGGGTGGGATGACGTCACAATGGGGATCCGTGCATATATTAGCACAAACGATGACATCACATTAGGGATCCTAGCATAAATTAGCATAAATGCTCGTACAAGTCCGTGAAGGGGGCATTTGGATGAGGATGATGTAACAATGAAATACTGTGAATAAATTGGCATAAATAAAATATATTTCAATACGAAGTCGTAACGAGGTCACCATGAACAAATTTGCATAAATTATCATAATTCATTCATTTAATTATTTATTTTTGAATGGACGAGCATTGACGTCATTGACGTATCGTAGAGGGCGCTTATTGATGGCGTGGTTGAGTATTTTTTTTAACGCCACGTTGAAAAAATGTCACATACTATCAAATAACGTGACGGATCTCACAAATGTGATGAGGTTTACTGCAAATCCTGCAAATCTTTTCAGACATACGACCACCTGTGTTACTACTAACCCTAATCCTAACCTTAACCCTCTAACCCTTACCATAACTAATTTCACTGTAACACAAAATTGGTTTTGGATTGAATCGAATATTTTTAGACATGTTTTGATTGGAATTAGTTTTTCTGAGAACTGCATTTGTTTCATTTTGTTCTAGCTATAAGGACTTCTTGAGTTACAATGAATGTTCCTGATTTGTGTTTATTATTCCGAGGTATGTGTACGTTTTTGTATTTTTAAGTTCTCCCCCATAAACATAAAATTTCACTTCATAAAAATGAAAATATATTACTGCAAATACCTTCTAAAAGTAAATAGCAAAGCAAGTAATTTGGCAAGCCTGCTAGAGTTGGGAAACATCATCCCCTAGCAACTAGATTGAAATATATGATCAAATATTGGATCAAAATAAATAATTCTAACCCAAACTCACTCGTTTACGAAGCACACAAACTTATACATCTTGATGAAAAAGGAAAAGACAACTGGGGGAAAGATATGAATCAGATTTTAGAAAATTTTACTATGGGAAATATTTGGAATACACATAAATCCAAGGATGACAAAAAGAAAATCAATGAGAAACAGTGACAGACAAATTAGACCAATCCTTTGAAATTCATAGCACAAAAACATTACACGATACCAATAAAAGTACAAATCATAAAAACAAGTTACGAGCCTACAGAAAAAACAGAATTGGAATATGAAAAATATCTCACCACAATCAAAAAACCAAATCATAGTGCTGCTAAGACGAAACTCGGAATAAAGGCTCATACCCTTCAAATCGAAAGGAGCAGATATAATAACTTCATAGCCGAAGACTAAATTTGCCCAGTTTGTGACAACTAGAAAATTGAGAACGAAAAACAGTTTCTTCTCAATTGTAATCTATACAAGGAGGAACGAAACAAATCATGATTAAAATATTAAATACAATAAAATCAACTTTAGGACGGATGATGAACAACTAACAGGTAAACTAAAAAGTTAAAATGACAAAACAATCATTGAGCTAGGAAAATTCGTCCACATCTGTTTCAAGTTACGACAAAAAAAAAATCCTAAAATACCAGATGCCTAAACCAAACACCACACATTTTTTTTACTTTACATCCAAATGTTTGTGATTTTATTATTGTTACACTTTGCTTGGTTTTTTTGTTACTTCATTGTATTTCCAACCACGATCCCACGCATGAATACGGTTTCAATTTCAATTATTATTATTGTGCAAATTAGGTAGTTGAATATTGACATCATGGTCAGTTTACCACCTCAGTTATCACATCGTGCTTTGTAAATATTTGACAAGCTTAGTGGTCACAGATAGTGTTGCTAACGCAACATACGCACGCACGCATTCGAAGGGGAACAAGCCATGTTGTGTACGGCCTCAGTGAGTTGAATTGAAAAGTCCGCTTCAAGTTGTGTACGTGGAGAAAAAGATTATTATACATTATATTATAGATAATCGCAATCAAGAAGCAGATCTTCCCTCACCGATAAAAGAACTACTTATTGCTTACCTCGTTACTACCCTACCATGTTTCCCATGTCGTTAGAACAATTTGATTCATGGCATTATTCAATACAGAGGTTATGAAACGCGATCAGACCCCATTACAACAATATCACGCCTTATGCGTTACTTCAATAATAACACCCAGCTGATTTGAAGACTATATAGTTGTGTCTTCAATTATTATTTCAAAGTCGAATGCACGTACACACTATAAAAATTACAATCGCTAACATCGGTGTAAAAGTATTTATTTCGAGAGCAAAACAACGCTGTTCATAATTATGCAAGAATCGACAAATTGGCAAAATAAAAGAAATATCTAATCATTCGAACTACAATGTGCATACATACACACGGTATTCTGAGGATCGTCGATTGATATTACGCCATATTGCAAATTATACTATTATCAATGGAAGTGTCGACGAATTGTAATATGCATGCACACATTCCCTCGTCGACCGGTACCTTAGTCACGTTAAACAGTCGGTTTACGAGAGTGTAAATAATACGGTCAGGATATTATAATTATATATTGTATAATGGAATCTGTCTATTGGATAAGCGAGTGCTCCCTGTACATCTTGGCAATCATTAAAACTTACCGCATTTTATTAAACATTAATTAGCAAACAACGTGTATGGCAATATTACTGGTCGATATTCGTCGTTGAAAAGAACGAACTACACACCATATCTATAATATTAAACAATTACGATTTCTTGACCCGCTTCCCGTTTGCATATTGAATCTACAATGATAATAATAAAATGTCATCCCATTCTCTCCAGTATAACTAATTATTTTAAATTATTGGTGTCCTACTTTTCGACAGTCTCCCTTTCTGAAATCGTTGATGACCGACATGTCGTCACATCAGTTTAACGTGGAAATACACTCTTGGTCAATCCCAAGTAAAACAGCTTTTGATTGAGGGATCGAATAAGCAGTAAGTTTTTGGAGTGAAAACAAGAGTACATGTATATCGCAAAAATCCGTTTATCTGTGTGTACGAATTATTCAGATCGTGGTGAATCGAATCATGAATGATGAGCGTGGTAATGATTGGTAAAAACATAATCGAGTATAATTTATAAGCGGAGTCTGAATTTGTCAACGGTATACGTAATTGTATGTACAGTGATTCAGTAGTTTGATGGTAAAACATAGTAAGTTTAGTATTGAAATATGTATAATTTCAAAAAGTAAAAATCATGCTACACATTTTTCTTGACGTTAAAAATATACTCAACCACGCCATAAATGTATACTCCATGTAAATATTTCATTCTTTTGTGCAATAAACTCCGTTAGTTTTCAAAATGACGTGTATTTATTAGCGTGTGTGTGTGTGTGTATGCGTGTGTGAGCGCCATCTACGATACAGTCAGAAAATCTTTCGTGACGTCAATGCTCGTCCAATCAAAAAATAATCAAATAATAAATAAATAAATAAATGAATAAATTATGGTAATTTATGCAAGTTTATTCACAATGACCTCGTTACGACCTCGTATTCAAATATATTTTATTGATGCCAATTTATTCACAGTATTTCATTATGACGTCATCCTCATCCAAATGACCCCCTTTACGGACTTGTACGATCATTTATAATAATTTATGCAAGGATCCCCATTGTGACGTCATCCCATCCCGTATGATGTCATCGCATCAAAATATGAACAGCGCCCTCATGGTCGTCCCTATAGTGGATGCTAAACTACTAACAACATCCGAGTTATACTGAAAACCAAATCATCTATTGTGTATCCGTGTATATATCGGGCAATTTGGAAGTAGCTTAAACTCACCTATTTCACACAATTCTCCTGTATAACCTCCAGAACAAATACATGTGCTATTTAGTTCATCTACTGGTAAGCACGTTCCGCCATGTAGACAAGGATTATTCAAACAAGGAGATATCCCTACAATAAATCAATATGCATGTATATGTCTTTGTGTCCTATTATTTTCAGGTAATCAGATTATTTAAATTTTCAACATTTATTTGTCCAATGGACTATCACTATTAAAGAATTACATAAACGACTCCTAATGTACATTGTTGTTGTTATGTAACAGAAGCTTTGGGTTGTATTTGTAAAATCACCACATTTTATCACGTGCCATCATCGTGATTGTGTAAATTCTTTATTGAAATAAGATTAATGTAAACTTTATTACCGCTAAAAGTGCGTTTCCTACTGTAAATGGATAATGATGATGATTCTACTTACTAACACAATCCGGTCTCTCATCTGAAGTTGGCATATATGTACAGTTAACGGGCCAGCCATATCCGTACTCCTCGTACGACAACGCGCACATCAGTTCAACGTCGTCACAGAAAGCCTTGCACGGTTGTCTATATGTACCATTTATCCCACACTGAGGGGACAACAGCGAACACATGAATAATTCGATGTGTTCGTGACAGCCTTCTATGTCCGCCATCTTATCCATCCTATCCATTGCTTGTTCACGTGACAGTCCCAAATGACTATAAAAAGTGGATCCACCATAAGGAAGATGATTCTCGCACTGCGGTATCCCAATATTCTCACAGTCTGCAACACATTGAGACGATTTCATGAGAATAAAATAAAGGTCATATTGTTAGCAATAATAATAATATAAATGCATGTCTGTATTAGAACGCGAAAATCATGTAACCGCGAAGTCCCAACAGACTTTGCATATTTGCATATACGTCATACGGTGGGTGGAGCAGCCGAGCCATGGAGTGTGAGTGGTTTCCGTGGTCTCAGTTGATATGTTAATTAGTCTGTCTTTTCATTGTTGGAAACATATTAGACATGTCAATCATTACAAGCCCGAATCTGGCCGGTAATGTGAAGGCGCTTACACCGATGGCAAGTCTGTTTCGCGGTCACATGATTTTCGTGTTCACCTTTCGTTTACGCAATTTATATTTATTTTTCAAGAATTTGTCATCGGAATCGCAACAGACTGCAAGCAAGTCTAGTAAGCGGCAAAAGGATTAATAACACGATTACATATCCACAAATGATAAGATTATATCGTAGTAAATAGACGTCTTAAAATTTAATACTAAAGTTGAATATAATTTTAAAAACGCTGTTTACGTACAAAAATCATCTTGTAATTCAACGTGAAATCCTTCATTTAGTCTGCTGTAGGCACCGTCTGTAGTAAAGCGAAGCCATATCTTGGTACTTTCAGAGTACCAATCTTGTGGCAATGTATTACCGGAATAAACAAACGCTTGCGTTGATGAATCTTCCGGGTCATCACCAACACCTCCACTAAAGTAGTCTCTGTTAGAACGTATGTTGAAATCAATGAAATGTACATTGATTGATCGTGTTTCATCTGCTTGTACGATCCACACGCAGTATAATAAGTCACTGTAAGACGACGGGTAGTCAGGTGAAGTGATAGAATGAACGTCATTAATGTCCAGAGTAACGGTTTCGTAGCAAGCTATAATAAAAATAGTGTTGCACTAATTATTAATTATTATTAATTGGAATGACGGAATGATGCAAGATGTATATATATATATATATATATATATATATATATATATATATATATATATATATATATATATATATATATAGACCTTGATCTAGGTAATTCTTAAATCATTGGCTTTGCACGAAACATGGTAATGCGTACACGAACACGATAAGTAAACCCTCCAGGCCATTTGTTTACTGACCTTCTTGTGCTATTAGACTTAACAGCCAGCCATTTCTGGTAACACTGCCGTCGGATTCCCATTTGACCCATACGTCATTTGTAGGTGATCTCCAGTTGTCTGGAGCTGTTGGCCCTGATTGGTATATTACACGGGTTGACAGGTCAGACGGATTTGTTCCATGACCAATGCTTATGTAGTCAAACGACGTCTCCGTATTAAAGTAATCGAATTGAGTGATTATATTGGCCCCAATACCGGAAGAAATGTTCCACACACAGTAGTCGTCGTTACCATAGTTACCGGGGTATCCCGGCGACGTCACAGCATATGTCAGACCTTGGGTGATATATATACTTCCCCCACAACCTGAAGCGAAGAACAGTGAACAAATTTAGGTAGATTTTCCCAACAGGGGCGGGTGTACTAATCAATATGCAAAAACGCATTCGTCGATGCAACGCATTCAATATAATATATTGTGATACCAAAGCGACTTTGCAACTCAGTCAAAACAGCAATATTTTTCCAAGTATTCGTACAGATCACAGAATAGACACCCTGAATTTAGATACCCCAGATTGTGGCAGAGGCTCGTGGTTTAATTGCAATTTTCTAAACGATGCAAATTATAATGAGCACGAGCACGTAGGTGTCAAAACGGAGGAAAGCATAATACATATTTTGTTCTAAACTTGTGAAAAAAATAACTATTAGAAATCATTTTTTACAATAAAAATGAGGGAGTAAGATTTTGTGGATCAGTATGCAACTCCGACCAATCGCAACAGTTGTATTTAATTTTATAGAATGTTCTCAAGAATCCAAGCCTTCTTATCCACAAATCTCGTATCCCCTCTCTAACAATAGATCAATCGTCGTTCATAAAGCGTTGGAAATACACCAACAAAATGAAACTCCAGAATGCTATGAAACCCCCCCCCCATCACACAAATCTTATTTATGTTTTCTTTCATTAGTAGGTTTTTAGATCATATATATGTTAATCGGCGTTATTGATTGGTGCTTTAAACCAGGAAACCATGTAGGGATATTTTTGTACAAAGCTTAGGAAATGTTAAATTTTTGTGAATCATTTATATCAACCTTTCATACAGTAACAGTTGTTGCACTTTGTAGAATGGTGTTAGACACAATTGCCAGTTTTCTGCCACACTATTTATTATTTCAATTGTGCTACTTAACATTCATATTAGGTGTAATGTACAAATAAAAACGCATAATACTTCCATCAGGAAAACGTTCGGCCTACCCGGTCGACAACAACTTTTTACTTGGGTTCAAACCGCAAAGAGAAAGACAAATTGGATTTTTGGATTGAGGTACTTAAAAGCAGGAAGAAGTTAAATAAATGAAAATAGAGATTGGAACATTCGATGTAAAGCAATCCTCGCAAAATGCATCGGAGCTAATTTACATAAAGTGTGTACGTCTGGTACCAACTATGACGGTTATGAATATGTTATTAGGAAGATATTAGAGTGTAGATTTACAACTAATGAACACATTTTTGAAACTGTTACGGTTAAATAGAATCCAGTAGCAAACAACAGGGTTTTATCTTTGCATTATGGTAAACTTGACGTAATTAGTCACTATAAATAAAGCACAACGCTTCACCAACGTGACTGCATACTAAGTTAGTTCTTTAATTGATTTGTATGTAAAGTATACATTAATGAACATTAACCCTTATCTGAGAAAATCATTAATAACTTATTGGAGCAAATACAATTATTGATACACACTGTCTTTCTTCCCTATACCTACCACAATCAAACTCGTCACTTTTGTCAGAACACTCGGCCGTATTGTTACAAATAGCAGTGTTAGGGACACACTCGTAGTAGTTGTTGCAGAACTGATATCCCGAAGGGCAAGTGCCTGGGTAAGAGGCTATGAAACGAAAAATAAAAGAAATATTACAAAACTGAGTAACTACTAGTTCTGTAATCAATAGCTGCATTGTAGTCAGAACAGACAACAACGCCAGAATCATACTCTGACAGCACATTTGAAGCCACTGTGACGGGTGGACTAATATAGAATGGGGGTATATTTATTGCTATCATAATTTATACAAGTACATCGTTCACCGGCAGCAGAATTGAAAATCGTAACCGTGAAGACAATTAATATATGCCTAGTTGACCCAAGGTTCCGAATAATTCTTTGTACATAC